GCGTGCGTTCTGTTCTGAGGGTCCTGTTAAGACCTCGGACCTCGTTTTTTGGGCGTTGTGAGTGGAAGGAAGCTGTGTTGTCCCTCGTAGAATCTTTAATCGGGGGTCGAGAATGAGGCTTCTCTTTGGGAGACTGTTCATTCTGCAGACATAAACACACAGCGAAATAAGCAGACACTGGTAGACACTGGGGGTGTGCATGTAATAATCAGAGAGAACAAAACAAAATGCATGAATGCAGGATGCAGCAGAGCCATATCATAAATTAGATCACATACACGCATGCAAACACATCACAAATCGAATCTCCTGAAATTATTATGGTGAACAAGCATCATTTGTAATATTCCTGTTTGCAAACAGTAGAGAAAACTTGTAATATTCAGAAAAAGACGAACAGATGAATAAGAGGGCATCCTTGCTTGGATAGAAATATTCAAATGCTGATCAGGGGAACCAACGGAGATAAGCGAGATCAGCGCCTACTGTAATATGCTACAGGACACGGAGATAAATCGAGAGCAGGTCACTGACCCTGCTCAGATCTTGCGGGAGTTCTTCTCGAGAGGAACTAGTGTTGTGGCGTGGGAGTGTGCGATGCTGGAGCTGCGGCGAGAGGAGTTGTAGGCTGCTGGCACGTGTTGGCACTCCCTGCCCGACCACCAAATTTGCCTCCTGGCCGTGCGGCCGGTGTCGCTCTCTCCGCACGTACATGGAGTGGCGATGAGGTCGCTGCTGCGAGGAAAATGGGCTGGTGTAGCCAAGACCGTAAGGATAGGATTCATGGGGGGAGGGCAGGTTGTGAGCATGGCCGCCCCCTGCTGCCGCAGCCCTGCTTAGGTCCAGTGTGTCTGTAGCCTTCGGTTCATCCGGTGTCTTTTTCCGACCCGAAGAACGTCGTGAATCCAGAGTGCCCCCTTCTAGTCGCGCGTTCCCCCGACTGCTGGGGCTGTGACCCTGCCGCTCCGTCCCAGCGTGCCGTTCGCCTCTGGGGCTCCCGGGAGCCGCGTTTAGATCCAGACAGCTGGACGGGAAGTAGCGGGAGCCCGAGCCTGATCCCACCATGGGATCGTCTAGGTGGAGTCGTGTCTCGGCCAGATTGCTCACAGACTTGGCATCGTTCAGCGCTCCGTGGCTCTTGGACAGGCTGAGGAAGGACGAGGAGCTTTTGGAGGAGGATGTGGAAGGCATGGATCCGTGTGAGGACTCCATGTAGTTATGGCGACTGTGTTTGTCCCCAGACTGCAGCGTGCTGGTCTTCCCTTCCAGGAAGGACGAGTGGCGGCCTTGTTTGGACGACTT